TGAACATAATGTGCTGTTTAGGGACAAAGTTATAATCATAAGCAAAAATTTGAAGTTGACGTTTCCCTGAAAAACAGTTAATGCTAAGCACAACTGGTTAAACATTTATTTATTTACTTTATATAGTATAGTTTTATATCATCTTTCTGAAAACACAAAGAAAATAGCTTAGTAGAAACATTTGTCTGCCAAATGTATAGGGTTGCAATTCTCACTGCCCCAATTAATATAGTCATGTTGATTGGAGATTGTGAAGTAAAGCAGCATGTAAATTATATGTATGTATGTGTATGCTATTTATCTTGCTTTTTAAAAAGAGGGATCCAGGTACCTTGGTATAGCTGCATTTATAATTAATTAATATAAATAAAATCCCTTTCCTGCTACCCTATCCAATTCCTTGTTTGATTCCAGAGCTTGATAATTTAGTTTTTTTCTTAGTAAGAATCACTTAGTAATTTCACTTTGGCTTCCTAGAAATTCCTACCCTGTTGTTCAGAGATTATGAGACAAGCTTTAAAATAGCTAGTGATTCTTTGGATATTTTGATGCCCATTAACTCTAACCAGAAAGAGCGATAAAGTAAAGTAATGGGAGTCAGAATCCAGGACATCTGGTTGGTACCAAGTTGAGTTTCTTGATAAATATGTGCAATTTCATTTGGAGAATGCTACAAAACCCCTTAAGGTGGCACATTCAGTTACCTGTTTTGCAAGCATAGGTTTATCAAGATCTAAAAATAAAACAAATTATATTTGTTTTGAGCTTTAAACCTACAATATTAAATTAAGAATGATTTGCATATTTATATGTCATGTGTTTTTTCCTTGACAGAATTATGGATCCAAACTTGTTACGAGAACGAGAACTTTTCAAGAAACGAGCACTCTGTACTCCTGCTGTAGAGAAACGTCCAGCCCCTTCTTCTGATTCCTCATCTTCTAAAAAGAAGAAAGCTAAAGTAGAACAGGGTGGTTCATCAAGCTCAAAACCAAATGCAGGTTAGTGGGGGCAGAGGGAATTTTGAGGTAAGCAATTGATGCATGTATCTCTTGGTTGGTGGGGTGCAGGCAGCAGTATGTTAACTTGCAAGGCTGTCTCTAGATAGCTGGCATAGAATAGGATGAACATATTGGCCTAAAACTGAGTTTTGGTTGTGGCATGCTGACCAAAGTGTATGTGAAAACTGATCAGCATTGCTCTTACCATTAGCAGGGAATGCTGTGTGTAGCATGAGTATGACTATGGCTGGTAACCTAGTCTATTCCTAGTCTACTCCTTTATCTTACCAAAAAAGTGTTATAGGAAAGTTTAATTGGCCATGAGGGATGATGAAGATCAATATTTATGTCATCTGTTGACGAGCATGGCATTTGGAAGATTAGAACTAGGAATGTAAGTAAATGTAAAGAGCATGAATTAATGAATAAATTATATAAAAGAAAAATAAATATGTTTTGTATTTCTGAAACTAAGAGAAAAAGGAAGGATGTAATAAATCTGAATGAAGGTAGTCTGATTTAATAGAATGGAGTTGATGAACCCATGCAATGAAATGAAGGTTTAAGTTTAATTATGAAAGAGCTAAAATGTATGTCAAAAGTATGGATGAATGTCATCTAGAATATGGATACAAAAGTTGAAATCCATGAATTGGTGATAGTTATATATTACGCTCCAGTGTGTAGTGCTAATGGAAGAACCAGAAATGAATTTGGAAAAAATGTGCATCATTGCACATGAATCCAGGAGAAAAATTACTCTGCTAGGTGACATGGATGGGTGGATGGGATAAAAGAGAGTAGAGAGAAAATGATTAGATTATTCAGAGACCCAAGAATAAATAAATGTTTAGTAAGTTTCTGCGTTAAAAATATGTGTGTTTTAAATATATAAATATTTAGCCATATATGGCAAAGGAAGGACTATAAATCTAAAAGCATGATTGGTTTGAATGTTTATGATGAAAAATTGAGAGACTGATATGAAGTTGATCTGAGGTTCTGAATGTTGAATAGAGCATTTCCTGGTAGACTGAATAGTGGATCTTTGGAAAGAAGTGTTCTGGAAGAAAAGGAAATACAGTGGTACCTCTGTTATGAAGTTATGAACGCCCCTCCTTACGAATTTTTCAAGATACGACCAGCTCCGGCCCCAAAAATT